TACGCTCGCATAATGCGGTATTCCACAGCCTCCTCTCCTCGCCCCGTGGATTATTCCGCGTCATGAATCTCTGAGACCGTTCTCCGCCCTGCCTACCTTCCCTAGCTGTCCTGTGTTCCACCCGTGTTTTCATCGACTTTTCCCCGGATAATGAGCTCACTGTCGATTCGATGCTATTTTAAACTCTCTCGATCAATTGTTAATTTGCCACGAAGGTATCGTCTTCCTAGAAATTGATTTGTGTGTGATGAATGAGGAATATATGAGTAATTATATGGGAATAAAGTAAAATGCAAAGATATGTAATATATTACAGCGTTCTTAACGTGAACTTATTGCGTGTAATAGGAAATGTCTACTGAGTAAAGTTTCGTATATCAATAATATTTTTGACTATAATGTTTACAGAAAGTAATGTTTATTTACATTATTATCTACAATAGACTGCCGTATAACGCGATTCTCCGTACAAATAATAAACACAGGAATTATAATTTAAGAATTAAATCTGCTTTAGTTGAACATTAGATTGTTTTCCTCGCGTTATATACACGAGAGAAATTTCTCGTACAATACGATTTGCTATAAATTTATATCCAGCGCGTAACATTATACGGGAGTCTATTTCTGTATTTTTAGCAGTGACCATTTCCCAACAATTTCGCGTTGAAATTGCACTCGAAACCCCTTTTCCAAAAGATGAATAATTTTTAATCTCTAAAAACTTGCACGAGATTAAAATTGTTGGGCTATTCGAAACAAGATTCGATCTAATTTTAGTTCCAGTTTCGAGCGATTTCTTGCAACGCAACGGGAAAATTCATCATGGATAATTACTTGGACCGCCGACAGAGGCACGTGCGGCCAAACGCAGGCCACTTTCGATCTCCAACGAAATAATTTGCACCACCTACAAACGCGAAACCCGCGATACCAACAAAGGACCCACCGAAGGACGACATTGACAAACGATCCGGCTTGTCGCGTTTCAATCCACCGATACATAGGCAGGCATGCGTGCGCGGTGGTACTCGCTCGCGCGTTTGTTTCTCCCCGTTGATTTCCATCTTCGAGCTCGACGAGCTACACGATCGCGCGAAACTAGTTCCCTCCGCGAGAGTACACACCAAACCGTTCGTGCAAATACGGAGGGAAGTGTGCGTACCGCTTTATCGCCGCTCGTAAAGTTTCATCTGGACTTTAATTAAACCTGGTTAAACCTCCACCGATACAAGTCGGACGCCGATATTTTGCATTGAATGAGCCCGTATAACCGGAGCAATCGAATATTGGCTCCGTGATTCTTAAGAATTTCCTTTTTCACTCGTCGAGACGTCGAGGAGAAACTGTAATCTCGGGGATATTGTGGTGGATTTACTGTTAATTTACACTCCGAGTTTGGAATTTTATTACCAGAGGAAGTAAAATTAGAAGTTGAACGATCTTACGAGTTACAAGCACGAAATTATAGCATAAGTATTATCGCTTTGGTCTATGACCACGCACCGTGCGAATATTCCGATTATGGAAAATAATTTTTGAAAATAACGCGAGAATAATATATATAAGGCTTTTATAAAAGTCAGAAAATAGAGAGTATTCAGGTAGAGACCGTGGAAGATAGGATGAAGAAGTAGAGGTCGAAGTTCAGGAATGAGTAATGTTAATGATGAGGCAGAGGTTAGAAGGAGGATCACTTTGGAATAGATAAATTTAATTATTTATCTTTACAACAGCGTGATAAATGTTCGATTTGAAGAAATTACGTGCAACATTTTTTCAGACCTTTAATCCACAGAGATATAGAGGAGGATAGAATTCAAAAAAAGGAGAATAAAAAGAGGAAGCAGCGCGATACATCGCATAAAAATCGTTAAAAAATTAACGATGAGCTTTATTTGCATCAGCTTAACGCTTTAATTCTCTTCTGCTCGATCATCCAAACTTCCCTTACATCTTCACGTTTGATCGATTATATCGTATCCCATCAATCGTTGACCCCGTTTGCGTGTTAGGATCCACGCAGATCGATCGAGGCCCTGGAGAAAAAAAAAGCTGCTGCAACCCCTGGATTCGTGAACACCGGGCAATTATATCTCTGTTTCTCTCGATCCTTCCCTCATTCGACAACGGTCTCATCGTGGAACATCATCGTGCATCGTGTTATTTAGAAACTTCCTCGACCGATCTCGACTCTTCTCCGCCGTGTAATCTCGCGGCGTTATACCACCACGTCTCCTTCACATTTCTAATGCCCAGGGATATTACGCATTTTATCTTACAGCGTTGTAAATTGCGACGCACGCATCCTGCCCCCGGTCGTAATAAATTTGCATGCATTTACGTAGTAACAGCGTCACGAATTTTGCGTTTCACGCAGCCACGAATACTTGAATACTTGAATAACAGGCCGTGTTCGAATGATCGTGTTTCTCCACGATTTTCCCCTTGAGGAAAGAAAGAAGGATGTGCTAGATGGTTGCAGAAATTGGCTTGGAAAATATACGAGTATCCTGTGGATGAAGACCGAGGAAGGAAAGCTTAGAAGAGGATGGAGCCGAATGGCTTAATCAGGAGTGCAACTCTCTTGCAACCTGCTATTTTGTTCTTGGGATGGACAGATTCCTGTTTTCCGCTGTACACACCGGAATATTGAGTTGTGTTTCATTGGGTAATATGATTTACGAGAAATTTTTCGAAATGATAAGAAACGGATAAGAGAAAGATTTGATTTACGAGCAACCTTTTTATGAAGGATAAAAAAAGGGTGTATATAAAAATGATAAACTTCGTCTTTCACAATAAACGTCCAAATGTACTCACTCTCTCTCTCTCTCTTTCTCTCTCTTTCTTCGTGGTACAAAGATCGATCTACCTTATTTTTCATCCTTATATCTTTCCGACGAATCTTCCAAACACCATAAAAAAGACATTTCTCGGTAAATCATCCCTCGACCAATTTTCCCACCCACGTATGTTCCGTGGATCACACTCTGCGTATTCACGCGATGGATGGAGTAATAAATTTTCTAGAGAATAATTTTCTTTCATTCGAAAACACCCATTTCTCCACTATTATTCTTCATTGGCTTGAATAATATTCTTTGCTGTTTGGAACGAATTTGTATTTCTTTCGAAGGAAGAGAGATTACAATTACTCGAAATAGAAGTTTTAAGAATACGAAGAAATTTTCTGCTAATTCAAATATTTCAAATACAAGCCTCCATAACTTTTACCATTCGAAAATTACTTAATGAATATACCTTACCAACGAATAGACCTAAAACTTCTAAAACAAACATCACCTTGGCTCACGCTACAAATCGATCGCCTCTCTCAAGGACTCGTTTCGTGTACACGATCCTCAACAAGAGAACTCTCGAGCTCACACGTGTGCGATCCCAGGTATGCGCTTCTTGCCTCCGCCCCCTATCCTTTCCTCCATTCCTTTTTCTTTTCATTCTCCACCCTCCCTTCTCCTATTCCTTCCCCCTCTCCACGTACGCCTCAAACGTAATCCGAGAAGATTACGCAGCGAAATAAACATGTCAACCCCCCATGCAGAGGGATGTGGGTTTGCGGAGCATCTTTATAGACCTTACGTCTATAAGAATATTCTTCTTCTTTGCTCACCTACCACGTAGGATAATCCTCCAAATGAAGATCCTTGGAGATACAAAGTCTAGTAGGCCTGGTTAGTTAAATCAAATGCGAGAGAACAAGCTTGTAAGTTCGCACTATGCGTCTTATCTTCCCTCGATCTGAACCGATCCCGAAGATACAAGTTTCCTTTGACAGAGACCACAAGAGTCGACCTTCTTAGCTCTTTCTTCTTTTCTTTACCTTTGGGACACGCATTGACGATGACTATTTTACTTTGTTGCCAGAAGAGGAGTGGTTCACGAGAGAAACCTCGACGCAACGTGTACAAATTTGCGGCTACCTGCGACTACTATGAGGATTCAATTCGGTGGGACGTGGCCTGCTCGGTCGATTTATGGGTATCCAATGCAGCTTGGCCACCGCTGCGAGCCTCTTGTAACCTCGTCCATTACGATCTTTCGATCGATTTTCCGTGGCGTCGAAAGCGTCTACGTCTCAACTTCGTGCGAAGTGTTCCGTTTGCGTGTGGTGAAAAGAGGTCCACGAAGGAACCACCACGTCAA